AATTACTGGTTAATAATGGTTTATAATGGAAAATCCAATGAACATGGATGATAACTGGGGGTCCCCATTTAAGGAAACCTGCATATGAAGGTGGGTGGGTGGTTCATCCAATTCTGAGCCATACCCAAATCATCCCAAATCCTCGTTTACAGTTGATTTCCTCTCATCAAAACTGACCAATCGCAATGATTTTGCTTGGGAAAAAATCCACAGGAACGTGGGCTCCCACCTGGTTTTAATAGCATATAATAGCGAGAATGAACTTACTCATGATAGAAATACCAGCTATTGGATAGGGCCCCGGGCCCCATGCGGCATATAGCGGCTATGCATCCTGGCATTCATCCCATCTGAAACGATGGATTCTTGGAATGTAACTGGGAGTGGCGCACCAAACATGGCCTGAATTCCAGTGTCTGACATATTTTGTAGTGTTTCTGAAGAACATGGTTTGGCAGGTAGTACAGTGAAAAATCCGCGTGATGCTAGCTTGTAGACCTTTTGAGGGGATATATATATATATATAGATAGAGAGAGGCCATACATGACCATAAATGGCCATACCTTCACAATGATCACTAGATCTATAGAAGCATCTATAAATTTTGCTCTGTCCCCCCAAAGCTGATAATCCCAGTGACTTCAAAGTAGGACGTTTGAAGCCGTCAACTAACTTCCCACTGACGGTTTTTGTTAGCCACACATATGGCTGCGTCTGAAAATAGTATGTCTCTATAGAATAGCTTTTTTTGAATAGCCACCATTGGCACCATGACCAATTTTAGACTGTCTAAATCTGTTTAATACTGGAACTTTTTGTGCAGAAATGCTGCACACCTTAGGTGTGGTTGAGGCACCCAGCTCCTCAAGGACGACCAGTCAGAGAATGGGGGGAATCTGCTGGGAAATCCGAAGATCTGGAAGATCTATGGGGAAAAAATGGTAGAAGGGGGAAGCTAGGACAAGACAGGTTGTAGGTCAGGTGGGAGGCTGTTATGTTTTTGTTCAATCTTGTAATCTGAAATGTTTGACTGTTTCTTTTTGGTTATATTGCTATATATATATAAATGTTTTAGGTTGTTGTAATAATGTTTGGTTTCAATGAGGGTAGGTTCTGTTGAGGGTGTTTTGCCTGTTATGTTTTTTTATGTTCTTGTTCAATGTTTCTTCCTGCCCTTTGATGTTTTATGTGTTGTATGTTCTGTTTTTTTTTGTCGCTAACTTTTCTGGGGCTTTCTGTTTGAATGTGGTTAGGATTTGTTGAGGTTGTTGTGATTTAACCATCTGGATATGAGGGAAATGTTGCGTTAAGGTAGTCTATGATTTCTTGGTGTTTTATTCGTTTCATTTCTTCATCAGTTTTCTTTTGTTGTTCTATTTGTTTTGGGTTAGGTTTGTTCAAGTGTTTTTCCCGAGAGCGTCTGAGCGCAGGGTTCTTCCAATAGTGGGGGTCTGTCTCTCATCTTCTCATCTTCACATCTGCTCATCTCCACAACTTCACATCTGCTCATATTCACATTTTCACACCTGCTCATCTTCACATCTGCTCATCTTCACATCTGCTCATCTTCACATCTGCTCATCTTCACACCTTCACATTTTCACATCTGCTCATCTTCACATCTTCTCATCTTCACATCTTCTCACTTCACATCTTCTCATCTTCACATCTTCTCATCTTCACATCTTCTCATCTTCACATCTTCACATCTTCACATCTGCTCATCTTCACATCTTGTCATCTTGACATCTTGACATCTTCACATCTTCTCATCTTCTCATCTTCACATCTTCACATCTTCACATCTTCTCATCTTCACATCTTGACATCTTGACATCTTCACATCTTCACATCTTCACATCTTCACATCTTCTCATCTTCATATCTTCTCATCTTCACATCTTCACATCCTCACATCTTCACATCTTCTCTTCTTGCCCTCTTGCCCTCTTGCCCTCTTGCCCTCTTGCCCTCTTGCCCTCTTGCCCTCTTGCCCTCTTGCCCTCTTGCCCTCTTGCCCTCTTCCCCTCTTGCCCTCTTGCCCTCTTGCCCTCTTGCCCTCTTGCCCTCTTGCCCTCTTGCCCTCTTGCCCTCTCCTTCTTTTCTATTTCTCTTCTGAAGGCGGGGGCAGGGGCAGTGCCAACGGGACGGCACGAAACGCAACCCTTTCGCACGAAACGAGGTTGATGTTTTTGTATGAGTGTTAATATGACCCTTTTATCAATAGCGATGGATGAACTAAACGATACAAACAATCCCTGCTTATCACACATGAGAGTAATTGAACACTGGTGGGATGGAATAGGTGAATGGAAAGCATAAAAGATTAATTCATAATATCTTAACAAAATATATTATGAAGTAATCCACCCTAAACACCCCTTAAAAACATAACCCCTTAAACTTGTAGAGGTATAATGACTGACAAAAAGCAGTGTTCTAAATGTAAAGTCTTTCAACCGTTAAACTATTACAGAGATGAATGTAAACAGTGTAAAAACTGTTTAGAAGCAAAGCAACGATACAGAGAGAAAAACAGGGACAAATTAAGACAGTATGCCATACAGTATCATCAAAGAAGAAAGGAACAAACAACAGAGGAAAAAAAACACTAATGAATTGAAGACTGAATGTCCCGTGTGCGGAAGTATCATAAACAAATATCAGGTCAAAGGCACGAAGAAAGCATCAAGCATCAAACCAAACTGAAGGGAAAGGAAAAACCGAAAGTTGTGACAAATGGAGATGATGAAACTGGAATGTTAGGCATATGAAATCTCAATCCAAACATAAAACCCCAACAGCCTAAACAAATCCTACCCCCATTCAATCCAAGCATCAACAGTGAAAGTTAAGACCCTAAACCACCCCTAACAATGTCCCAGTAAATCATCAAAACCAAGGAACACACATTGAACAACAACATAAAAACCACAACAGCCAAAACACCCTCAACAAAACCTACCCTCATCCAAACCAAACATTATTACATCAACCTCAACAAACATTTAGCAAGATAATCAAAAAGAAACAGTCAAACATTTAGATTTACAATATTGAACAAAAACATAACAACCTCCCAACCAACCTCCAACCTCTCTTGTCCTAGTTTCCCCCTTTCACCGTTTTTTTATGGGAAATCCACGGGTTTTCCCCCAAAAAATCCCAAATCTGTGGTGAATGGAGGGAGATCTAAGATGATCTAAGAATCTATGTTCGGAGCTATGGGCATCTGCGGCATCCATAGATTTCCCGCAAAAATCATGGCCAAAGAGCTAAGAGTTTCCCAACCTCATGATAGTTAGTTGCACTTTTCCTGGCCTTTCTATACAAAGGCCCCCCCCTGGTATGTTTGTTGAATTGTCTTACCTCCTGTAACTATGGATAGAGATAAATCTAATCGTTACTTGACATGATGGAACCAACTTAAGTATCGTTTGGGTGCCCATTCTTGCAAAAAATATGCGGTTTATCTCAGGTTCATTGACATATATGAAATGATCATGTGGATCTCACCAGTTGTCGGAAAATGTTGATCACTATATGATGGGTTGGGGATCCTTTTACGATATTTTGTAATCCTTTACAATATGGATCCTTTTAAAATATTGATCATCATTTTGATTAAACATATTTAACCTTGCGTATTTCTATATCTTTATTTGATGTACTATAATTGTATATAATTGTTCATGATTCTGGTTTGAAATCCTTTTAAATCGTCAATTTATGAAGGTCTTGGGGATTTAAAGTTGTACAAGGTGGTAGTTGGCGGAGTTGGCTGAGTTGGTTTATCACTAAGATAACTAGATTTATGGTAGATAGATACGTGTATATATATATATAATTACATACAGTAAATGGTATATATATATATCATATTGATATTTCTAGTTACAGTGATTATATTGATATTTATGGTGTGTGTATATATATATATATGAATCATATATATGTTGTACCGTGACTGTTTCGTGGACTTTTTGATGTTTGTTTTAGGGTTGAAATTGGGACTGGAAAAATACAACAACCTTTGTTTGTCAGGAATTGTCTGGGCTAGCGGATGCCGACTGGATACTCATGTCAATTTGAACATTTAAGGAAAAGTGGTTTCCTTCAAAAAACACTGCAGACTGGCTGTTGATACACCTCGGACATATTATGATTTGCACGAATTTGTATGACTCAGATATTGCTTGGATAATATATGTTTGGGAGTTACCCTCCTGTAATCAATCATGGCTTCCTGGAAAAGGCTCCGTTTGGTTCGATTTTTCCTATCAACATTCCCATGTACAGGGAATTTCCCAGGTAAATTTATATTATCCTGGGGCCAACCACCCATACTTTGTTTGGCAGCCAGGAGTGCAGAGGCCGGGTGCGTGTCTACATGTCAATATCGCATTCAATGATGATCTTTTTGTTTCTATGTGTTTCTTGAATATGTTCTGTAGCCCCTACAAACGATAGAAATGTCATGCATCACTATTTTAGTGGAATGTACTGTTCTATTTTTTTGATAAACATATATTTATACATAATTCATAAAATGTATATTTATACTGGGTCATGAACCACCTAGAGGCAACAAACAACGATGCCCGTCCAAGTTTAGTGAGACCACTACACTGTTGACCCGTTTTGCTTTTCTATTAGCAACGCGCTCCTGCGTAAATTCAGTGTGGTATCAAGCAGAATGGGGGTATAATGGGAATACAATGGGCATATATGTTATCCAAGGAAAATTGAGCAACATCAACTTGGCATTTGAACAGTTTCTGCATTTTGCATGTTGTGGACTGCCATTCTGCTGGATTCTGCTCGATTCTTCTGCAAACCGGGCGGCCAGAGATGAAAAATACAGCAACATTCCTTGACAAAAACTAGGGGTTGAATGTCATATTCCTTAAAGCCGTGAAAACACAAACTCAAAAGATCCCCAAACAACATTCCAGTCTGGGATTCAAGGAAGTCAGGCATAACTCTTTCTTGGTCATAGACACCGTGGCACGTGGCACGCGGTGTGGAAATCACCACAATGTCTCGAGTGCTGGACTATGCTGTGCCTCGGACGAGATGGCAGTGTCGAGGAACACTTGTAGCAACATCCAGTTGTTGAACATGGCCCATTTATAGTTGATTTACCTATTAAGAATGGTGATTTTCCATAGCAATTCTGTTAAATTAGCAGAGGGTAGTTGTTGAACAGTTGGAAATATAATGCAATATGAGGACATTTGGTGATCGAAGTACCATCCTGGAAACATGTGGGAACATCTTGTTGTCTTTTTGTGCTGTTGCTAGAATTGATTCACGGGATAATTGACAGGAACTCCTGCTTTCTTTTCCCCGGATTTTGATGTATTGTTCCTTTTGGATCCTTTTGACAACCTTTTTATATAAACACTGCGTGGGATTTTTGTCACTCAAAAGAAGAACCTGGTGCCTTGAAACATCCCTCGAAGATGATTTTTTCCGTGACTGCAAGGGTGGTGAAATGGGAAATGGTTCAACAAAAAACGTTATCATGTTGTATTACTTCATTATTCAACATGACAATCATACTGAATCATACTCCAGATTTATCCTTGATTATGGAAGTATAGGTTCATTTCCATAGTCATTTCATGTGAACATGGAATCGCTTCATGATCATTCCATGTTTGTTTCTTTTTGAAAGCGGTTGAGCTATTTTCTTATCACATCTCTCCTGCCCTCAGAAAATGATATGTATCTTACTCTCTATGTATAATATAATATATATTGACAAATATTGACATAATATTTTCTATATATAGCCTGTATATATATATATTATACTACATATACACCATATTTAGGTCCAAATTATGATCGGTGCGGTTTGTGAAAACCGGTTTTCACCGCACAGATCGTCACCTCTGTCTCTCTGCGCCGTTGCGCTGTGCCCTCTAGGTGTTGAAAGAGCATGTGGGGCGAGTACAACGGCAAGAGCTTGCCAGGTGATCGGTCAAAACCTGTAAAATACTTCGTTAATGTGGTTAAAACAATGCCATAAACCACCCACTTGGGAATGGTAAACATACCACCTATAAAAATGGTGATTTGGGGGATGGTTTATTATTGTTTTAATCACATTACTGTGAATGGGAGAAATCCTGCAGTTAGTAGATGATGTATCGAATTGTAATCCCATGAAATTTAGAGTGTTTCATCATTAGTTGCCAATAGTTAGCAACTGGTGCAGGATTTCGTCCATCTACAGTATCATCATTTGAGATGATTTCACATGGTTGTGTCTGAGAAAGGCAGTATGCGGGAAAATAGTAATTTTATGTACCCTCTGGCAATTTAACATAGCTAGTGAAAATGGTGATTTATAGTTGATTTACCATTAAAACATATGATTTTCCATAGTTATGTTCGTTTACCAGAGGGTAATACTAGGTATAATAGGGTTTATGTATATCATCCATAGTATAATCATGTATAATCATAGTATAATACTAGCTATAAAGTTGTATAATCATCATAATGACTAGGGTTAAATCAACTATAACAGTGGACTTATGGGCACGGGGCACCCCATTTTCAAACGAGATCCCAATCATATACACCCATGGTCTGAAAGATGTGTACATCCCCTACTGAACCATGGATTCTGGTGGGTGTTTAATCATGGGTCATTAAATGTCCCCATTGAACATCACCCAACCATTAGGTATATGGTCTGTAATGGCTACTATAAGGTGATGTCCAATATTCCCAAAATGGGACAGTTACCAACCCCTGTTAATGTTAGAGGGATGGGATTTTCAGAAGATTTTTCATGATGCTTGGGATGTATGATCAACAATACAATAGGGCGAGATATTTTCATGGGACATCGTTGGATATTGACCCTTGACACTGCAACAACAAGCAATATAAAACAATCAGAAATAATGGGGGTAGCTGAGGTTTTTGACCATAGTGAGTCTGTCTGAACATGGGATGAACAGAAAGTGTCAACCCTGGTTTTTGCCAAACGTCTGAGCTATTGATCATTGGAAGGTTCGCACCATAATAGCAAATTGAGTCACTTTTGGGGGGGTTATCTCTCCACCATCAACCAGGTCTTATGAATTCCGGATTGACCTTGCCAAATTTGGGGGTATGAATGATGGGAATTGGAGCAAAGGCTAACTATCCCCCTGGGCCGAAGTTTTGTTGGTGAATTATTTGCAATGTATCCAGATAGTGGAGGGATTACCATCCATAACTACCAACGATTTGTTGATATTCATGATTTGTTGACACAGACATTCCGAAGAATTGGGGGGTTCTACGCACGGTGGATCCAATGTACTTCCAATATTATGTTATTCTTCATAAAGCAACCATTTTGGTGAAAAGGTGCCACCACTGGCCCAGAACTCCACATGTTTGATCATGTTTGGGGTCGGGATGAATGACCATAACTTCCATGACCAGATGAGGCTATGGAATTCAATGCATGACACAGATCGTCAGATTGCTTGGAAAAAAAACATCACCCAATGGGGAGGACTAGATGGTTTCTCCAGCATGTTTTTTGCCCTGACACAATGACATGTTACCAACACATACTTTCAAACTGGGTTTGTAGTATAAGCAAAGACACGGAAAAAAGCACCCTAAAGATTGATAGTTACACCCCAAACCACCAATTGATGTGTGCGAAAATAGAGCTGAACATTGCATTTGACCATGCAATTTAGGCATTTGGGTTTGTCTCAAGATAGGGTACCCTTAAAACCCATTCCATCCGGTACAATTTAGCACTTTCCCCATGAACAAATTGCCGTGTTTGGGGTTAATATGGCTTAATCACCTATCTTCAAACAAATCACATATCATTCCTATCCATTCTTCATTGGTTCAATCCCTGTTTTTGATGCTTAAATCCATAAAATCACCATTTTTTATTCATTACCATCTGGTTATGACTAACATAGCCATGGAAAATCACCGTTTTTAATAGGTAAACCCTCTATAAATGGGCCATCTATACCATGGCTATGTTAAATAACCAGAGGGTAAATCATATTAAATCCGACATAAATCCACCATTTGATGGTCAAATTCATGGGATTTTCGCTCCGGAAATCGCCGCCAGGTTTGATTTGCCCCATGAACCTATTGACAAGGCCACGGACGGTCCAGTGAGCTACGCGGAATCGCCAAGTTGATTTAACACTTATAGAACTAATTATTATACCACTTGGAAAAATGGACTTAGATAAGACTTATAGAATTTTACTTGTTAGTTTTCCAAGTTTATGGTAGTGATTTAATTTATACCCTCCAGGCTAACATAGCTATGGAAAATGGACCATTTATAGATGATATACCTATTTTAAATGGCGATTTTCCAGAGCTATGTTAAACTACCAGAGGGCAACTTATGTTTCACTATATGGGATTATGGATGATGATGATGATGATGATGATGATGATGATGATGATGATATAGATGTTGAACTATTGAAGTTGGTTTCTGAAACCGAGAACATTTTATATCTTTAAAGCACCATATTGTATGGAACTGCAGGCATCTTGTTGGATAATTTATCGCGATCTCATGACACACCGATAAAAATAAATGCAGATTATTTAATTCTATTTAATTCAAGAGGGAAACCGGCAATTTGATAGCATTGACTAAGGTATTCGTATGTGTGAGGAACGAGCTATATAAATGTCCGATCTATACATATGTTTTTGTTCAGCAGTTTGCCTTGGTTTCCGACACGTGATGATTTTTCTCTGCCATTTACATGCCAAGTAGGGAAAAACAAGTTTCTTTTCAGCGCTTTTGCGCTGCAACGGGGCAGAGAATGCTGCGAAAAGGTTGTTCTTTCTTCGTGGCACTTCCATAGAATCAACCAAGACCATGATAAACCATATAAGGCTATATATATATACTGTATGTATATAATTGTATATATATATATGTGTTTCTATGTAATTAGAATCAATAACTATGGTTTATCATAGAAATAATCCTTATATTGTTGTTGTTCTACATCTACGTAATCATGTACTATCATTTACTTATAGAATGAACATGAATTAACCATATCATTTCCTTAGATATCCACATAAGAATATACATGTTCATTGATGTTCGAGCTCCAGGAGCTTACCCTCAATCGCTCCTTTGCCCGTGGCTGGCCGAATAGCCTCTACAACGACTCATCCAAGGCCGGCGTCGCGTCGGAAGTGTTTTTTTTTTTTCGGAACATTGACCCGATTTGCCCCAAAATTTTGCGGACTACCCTCTGGTAAACTAACATAACTATGGAAAATCGCCATTTTTAATGGGAAAGTTCCCGGTTGTTTCCCTCAAAAAAAATCAGTTCGACCCTGAGAACCAACCCCCAACTCATGACCGGGTTGTCATCGCGGGATGGGAGTCAACCCGAGCCTCGCCACGGCCAGACTCGGATGCTCCTGACACCTACAGGGCCAGGAGACATTGAAGATTAACAGAAAGCTGCGCACCAATCACAAGACCAAAATGGGGTATTGAACCATCAACAATGATGAACTATGAGGATGTAACATGATATAAATAAACTCAGCTATGAGAATCCATAGCTTATGAATTGTGCTGTCAAATTTAACGTCAGACAATATTTGGGATGATCCCTGATGATGATGATGATGATGATGATGATGATGATGTTGATGACGATGACAATGAGGATGGTGGTGATGGACATGTTGATGGTGATGATGATAATTATTTATGATCGTGATTATGTTTTTTTTGTTTTTTTTTATCACTATTTATTGTTGTTATTATCTTTATTACTAATTTGGTGATGATCATGATCAGGATCATGGTCATTATGAGGATGATCATTATGATCATAATAATGCTGATGCTGATGCTCATGCTGATGCTCATGCTGATGCTCATGCTGATGACGATGACGATGACGATGACAATGACGATGACGATGACGATGATGATGATGATGATGCTGATGATGCTGATGATGCTGATGATGATGATGCTGATGATGCTGATGATGCTGATGATGCTGATGATGATGATGATGATGATGATGATGATGTGTTACCCCTTGGTGCTCAAACAGAATCAAACATGACAATTTAAAATCACCCGTTTATAAATGATGTTTCAATGTAGACGGCCATGTTTTTTTTAATCTCGCAATGCCATGTTTTGGCTATCGGGCATAAGGAAACAGAACCCAAAAACATGAATTTGAGGCACCCATGGGAATGGTCATAGTGGATTGACATTTCTCCTTCTCCAAGCAGAACGGTTGGCCACTGTAATCCCCCGTTCTGGCGCTGCCCAGTAATCAAACATGGCGCCATAGAGCGACCAGTTTTCGACCGTTGTTTGACCCATATTCATGAATATCCAAGAGCTCTTGGCCGATTCTGACTGATTTTTGAGAGATTTTGATCCAGTTAGTGATCAAAACCATAGCTGAATGGGTTAAAACATGTTCAAACCACCAACCAGATAGATTCGCAACTGCAAAGTAGCAAAAATGCGGGGGGGGATACCGACCATTTCGCAGGACGAGGCTATGGTGGCTATGGCAGCTATGGTAGAGAAACAGGCAGAGCGACTGGCGACACTTGGCGACCATCTTACCATAGATTGGATATGATTAAATATAAGTATGTATTAATATATATATAATACTGTATGTATATATATATATCTATCTATCTATCTTATATATATATATGATTATATGTATTATAATGTTTATATATTATATACACTAGATGTTACATCTGCCATAATTCACGGTCTTGCTCAGCATGGTTATCCTCCGCAAATGTTGCCTGGCGTACTGGAAAATCACTAATTGTCATTAATCCCTTCCCCCTATTACTAAACCCCTCCCCCTATTACTAAACCCCCCCCCGAATAATAAAAACTAGGGTCCATCTCCAATTTTGGAAAATTTCAGGTTGGCCAATTTGACTTTTAATTGATCCCATATTGATCCCCTTTAGAAAACAATTTAAAAATCAAGCTACTATTTGTAGGTTTTTCAACCCCTAATCATAAAAGCTAGTCAACCCCGGGGTGTTTTTTATTGGGGTCCGTTCGAAAATTTTAGTCTTTTATATTAAGGTTTTTAATTTAATATTAGGGGCAAGCTTCGAAATCCAATTTTTGGCAATATTTTACTTGCGTTATAAAAGGAAAGTTTTTTGATTTTGAAATTCATCAAACCAGTTTTTTAATTAAGGTTTTAATTTATTATTAGGGTCCGCCCTTCGAAATCCAATTTTTGGCAATAGTTTAATTGCGTTATAAACATTTTTTTTTATTTTGAAATCGATAAACATATATTTTTTTTGCGGGTTTAAATTTATTATTAGGGTCCGCTTTGGTTTCCTAATAATAGATACCCCCTAATAATAAAAACTACCTGAGGTGTTTATTATTTGGGGGGGGCGCGTTTAGTATTAGGGGAAGAGGATTATTGTGTGACTGCTTTTCGCGTCAAAAGTCATCATGATGTGTCATTGCCAGGTGAGACTTTTGAAGAGGGCCAGGAATAGGATAGTGTTTGGGATAGTAATCTCAAATATCCTGGGATTTCTGTCTTTTGAATATCGCAGCGGAGTAACTGGAGCAAAGTCATGCTTTTCGGAACAGCCAAGTGACTCAATTGGCAGGTCTTACCCCTCGGCTCGGAGACTTCAAGGACATTGGTGCCAGGGGGTGCTACCCACCTTGGACATGTGGAATCCAAGGTTCCAAAAGCGAAGCCACCCTGCGATAGTCATCTTTTCTGTGAAAAAAAACATGGCTTTCGGTAGGTCCAGGGCCTCTCATTTTAACAAATGACATGAAATGACAATATCACACTGAAGCATCCTTTTTTCCACCGCAGGATTTGACCTATATATTACCTATAATATATGTTTTGCTGGTTAGAAATGTGGCTGAAAAACCATCAGCTACGGCCTCTCAAGCCGCAGCCAGCCTTACGTTCTGAGGAGGTATGACTAGGTTATGATGACTAAGGAGTTAAGTGCTGATTTTTTTTCGGAAGTACTTGCAGTCACACATTAATCCAATGTTTTTCAAGTACATACAACTTCATCAATGTATATCAATGTATGTTTCCCGCAATAGTACATGTTATATCAATGTATAGATCAATTCATTATATTATAGTTAATATATAATCAATATTCATTATATTAGAATGAATATAACATGTTATCAATATATGTATAGTTATTATAATCCCTTCGCATTAATCTTCACCCCCAAACATCAAAAATCACGCAGTAGGGAAGGGTTTCCACGTTTCCACATCTTCCCGTCATCCAGTTCAGGAGAGCCACGAGAGGCGGGATATCATGGTAGAATGGACAATCTGGACATTGATGGCTACATATGGCTACTCTCTATATATATATATATTGCATAATTATATTATACACATACATATATGTTTATATACATATATATATATATATATATTGCATATATAATATATATATATATATGGCATATATATATATGGCATATATATATATATTGCATATATATATATATTGCATATATATATATTGCATATATATATAGAATATTATATATATATATATTGAATATTATATATATACATATATATATATATATTGAATATCATATATATATATTGAATATTATATATATACATATATATTGAATATTATATATATAATGCATACATATATATGGCTCATTGTTTGGTGGTCCCCCTCCCGAGATGGTGATGGCATATGTAAGCTATATATATATATACACATGTGTGTGTATACGTATGTAGCATGTGTATGTGCAAATGTATACAGTGTGTATATGTACGTGTCCATGTATCCCTCCCTTTCTGGATGGTGATCTGGGAATCCCGTTCGTAACTAGGATGATCTGCTTCAACATCTCTGAAGTTCTGGGGACGATATGTTGAGTTTCAAGCAATAGAACTTATAATCCTTCTTGATTGCTTGGCACCACTAGTACGCAGTTTTTTGGGGAAGCTGTCGCGATTTTCCGAATCAGGATTTGGATGAAAAGCACATGTAGGTCCCATAGGTGCTACAGATCACAATAGCCAGTTATTTGCTGCTGCTGTTGTTGTAGGTCATGGAGAGTGGAGAAAGAGGAGACCTTGGGAACATTGGGAGTTGGGCGAGCGGGAGAGCGGTTCAGGAAATGGACCAAACATGATATTCAAGTTGGTTCAAACATGTGCAATAACTATGAAAAATATCATGTTTGATTACTAAGAATGTACAATATCTGGGATTGTTGATGAATATATCTCTATACTTGGGTTTATAAACCACCGAACATCACTGGAGCACCACCCTGTAGGGCTCACCCAATGTGTTAAGGCGAGCTGCTATTGAAAATCACAAACTTTTAATAGGAAAATTGTTGATTTCTCATCCCCAAAAAATCTAACTATGGTTTTATGGTAGATATAACTATAGTTAATGGTGGTTATAAAGCAACAAACATCACTTGGGGGGGTCTTCATCCCTATTGACTTCCCATCCCGCATGGATATGTTGTGGCTGGCTCCCCACCCTTTGGGCGTGCTTTTCAGGCCTTAGGGAGAAAAGCCGAGTCCACAGCTTTCCTTTTTTTGGGGGATGTATGGAACAGTATGGAACAGTATGGAACATGATTTTCTGGTGGAAGTTGAATTGTGACTAATTGTGATTGGGCCTTGCATCAGGCCCAACGAGTGATGCGTATGGAGGAAATAGAAAGAAGCCTTTTCACAATGTCAGCCCCAGAGTAACAAAACCTGGCTGACGAGTTGGGGCGTTGTCTCCAAGAATATATTGAATATATATATATATATATATGAATATGTGAATTGCCATGAGTTGCTATCAACATGGTTCAATGGATTGGTTTAAGGGACAATTTACAGGAAAACCCCATGATCTTACTGGGAAAATCAACATGGTTTCCGGTGAAGATTTTCCCTTAAACCAATCCATTGGGCAAATCATCACCAGTTTGGCTGGTTTCATAGCCAGTGAAATACCACGTGTTGAAGCTTCAAGACCCATGTATGCGACTTGAAATTGCTGAAATTCTGGCTGCTTCATGAGTACATTTATCTAACTTTTACTCAAATTTAAGCCATGTTCATCCAATCTATTCTCACCACCAAAAAACACGGTGTTCCCACCTTTTCCTATGTTTATCCCACAAAAACACCTCCATTTATAGTGGATTTCGCTAGATGTTTCACCCATTTCCTGGTCGGCCCTGTCCCCTGGGGTCCCCTGAAATCCTTTGGCTCGAGGACTCGAGCATCGATTGGGCGCCTCATCGAAGTCGAGATGGGGAACGACACGAGCTGGGACTCTCAGGATGTTTTTTCTTGATATGGATGATGTTTTGCTAGACTTTGACAAAGAATCTATATCTATGTTTATATCATATATGTATATATATCATATATCTATATATATCATATATCTATATATATATAATTCATTATAATTCTATATACTGTATCTGCAATATTAGTAATTTATATTATATGTGTATATATATATGTATGAGTTAGTGTCACAATGGCTGACCACGATTGCAGAGGTAACCTTCGCCGCCCCTCCGAGCGACCACAGCTTCTTCATTTTCGGGATTTTTCGGGGCTAGCTGAGATACAAAGGTCAAGGAAGTTCTTGGCAAAGCTGATGCCAAGTGGATACAAGTGCTGGCTTCTCTCCAGCTGGTGGCCACTTGATCCAGCTTAGCTGGCGATGATCCACTGGGGAAATCAGCACTGGTGAAGTGTCTCACCGGAAGACGCTCGATCAGTCATTGCAAAGCGATATGGCCCCCCCAAAAAAGCGACAACCGATAACCGATAATAGTAACTAGTAACTAGTGGGGATGTAAAGGAGTTTGACCGGAGCTTGTATATGTGTTATATATATATATATATACATACACATGTGGCGGTTATATATATATATACCCATGATATTTATGGATATTTACTGTGAATAATGTGCAGATATTTATATATGCATATATGCATATATATATATATATATGTGTATGCATATGTGCATATATATATATATAGAGTAGATTCAGGGATTTACTTATTGATGATGGGCAAACTATGGGAATATATTTCGCCTAACTATGGTTACTGGAAGTGTTGGGTTTTTGTTGATTATGGGGGACCTGTGAAATTTTATACCACACGTCGGATATTCATCATCAAATGATACCGTATGTTATCATCAAACCATGAATATCCCGTTTGTACAACATGTTCATGGCTTCTGGTCATGGGGAAGCTATGAGAGTAGAAGACAATGGTCAATGGATGGGCATGTCTGAAATCATCGGCATCACTATCAACCATTACTGGTTGGTGGTTTGGAACATTTGTTGTTCCATATATTGGGAACAATGATCCCAACTGACTTTCATATTTTTCAGAGGGGTTAAACCACCAACCAGATGAAAAATCTGGGCAAATCATGACGACCTCACGTCGCGACCTCACTCCAAAATGATTTTTTTTTTTTTTTCTGGAGGGAAATCATCCCACAATAGGCGAACTATTCAGGTGAGTGAAATCTTGTAATTTATCCAGGTGAGATATGCTTCAAGTATGGGATACTAATGGCCTATTGATTGGATGAAATGTATTTGTTCATTTTTTTCATGATATATATAATATACATATACATATATATATATATGCATGCACATAATAGGGTTGATCAAGTGATCAAGATGTCAGACGATGCTTGTTCGCTGTATTTGCTACGGAAATGACATGTGGTTATGCTGTACAAAAACTTGCTAGTCTTGGATATACGGCGAGGTGGTTCCCCAGTTCGGAATCCCGAAGTTTATGATGCATATATGGAAGTAATTAGTGGGGGGTTATAAACCAACTCATAACTGGGGGGCACTGGTACTATCCATTACTAATTGGGTAGATTCTGACGTCTTAACAAAATCCCATTTGTGGACCCATTTCCTACCGGAAATAAGCAGCTCACAGCACATATATCATATTTTGTTGTTTATAAAACGGGATGACTTACCTAAAAAGTGTGGAGTATCAGGAATAACTGGAAGAAACAAATGATGTGGAACTATGGAATTGTTTTCCTATATAAATTGTTGAAGTGATCAGATTTGTTTCCATCTCGTGAGTTTTACTTTGTCCTTAATGGAATACAGAAACACTGAGAATCAAGTGGGAACTCACTAATGGAAACCGTGGAAACCTCCATATGTTTGTTTTCAGCATTTTCTCACTGTTAGGGAATCGGGGAATGATTCATAACTATTTCCAATATCATATATATATACCGTACAGCTCCAAACACCTTCTGAGACTGTATTTGGATTTGTTTTTTTCGGGTCTGTTTACACCTTCTCAGAGGGTATTTGGAGCAGTAGGGATATAGTTTTCCAGAACCATATATATATAATTATACATATATATATATAATTATACATATATATATATAATTATATATATATACATACGTAATTATACATATATATATATATCATTGTATATATATAATTATATATATGATTATATATATAATTATATATAATTATATATATATAATTATATATATACACATTATTGTGTATATATACACATGTTATTATGTGTATATATATATACATTATATTAATATTATATATATAGGATATAGTATAGTTTTCCTTAGGAAATTACCAGCTTTTCCATACCCATTCCCCCATTCTCATCATTACGTTGAGCACCGCGCCCGGGCAAAGCCTGGCCGGGACCGGGTTCAGGTTGAGGTTGCCAGCGCTAGAGGAGGTGCAGTCGCCGGCAGTGTTTAGTAGCGACGGAAAGGGGCGGTGCGGGACGAGAAGTTCATGATAGATCGATAGAATATGCGGTGTATATATATATATATGTGTGTGTAGTATTCAAATATATGTATATGTATATATATATATGTATAACATGGATGAATTCTAATGACCTCACTGTGACTGTGACCTCACTGGAATCATGGTTAGCAGGGGTAATTAAGTAATTCATTATCCCACTGATACTGATGGAGGTTTTCTAAGTCATGGCGGGTACCCCAAAATCATCCAGTCATGGATGACCATGACTCAGTAATGGGGATCCTCCATTAAGTGATATACATATATATATATATACATACACATGACAAACAAAATCATTATCGATTTAAAAGTCAAACAACAGCAATCATTTTCAATGATTAGATATTCCAACCATCACTGGTTGGTGGTTTGAAACATGTGTTATTTTCAAGTCTGCCTAGGATGATGTTCCCAATTGACGAACATATTTCTCAGATTGGTTTAAACGACCAATCAGATATATGATGACAAGGGTAATGTCTAGAACATGAATCTTTACTTGGATCCTACAATACAGTTGACTTGCCCAAACCAAAATGGATCAATCTGTTCTGGCGGTATGAAACTCAGCTGCCCGTAGACGGACCTGGCATCGTCAGGTTCACGTGGGCCATCAGCCGCATCCAGATATTGCCTATGCCTGAACTAAAATAGGATTGAAATAGTCAAGACTTGGATACTTGGATAAGTGGAGGTTCATCATCAGCAGCATCAAATTGGGGTTCTTAATCGCCAACCATGATGATACTCCAACAAAAAAAAGTTAAACCCAGAACATGAAGGGCTGATGGCGCCTCACTCCCCAACCAGGCGTCTGCTCGCGTCAGGGGTCCCAGGAGATGTGGTCGAGTGTATTTGGTGCTACCAAAACGATTCTGACTGAGTGATACACATACATGAAGGTTTCCTAAGATGGGGGTACCCCCAAATCATCCATCTTAATCGGGTTTTCTATTACAAACCATTCAGCTTTTGGGGTACCCCCATGGCTATGGAAACCTCCATATGTTGCAATGAAATTGAATTACACTGAGTGATACAACTCAAATCTCCATCAAAGGATCACTGAATCAGACTTATATAGACTGGGGTGATCAATTTATACTGCAATGTACTGCATCTATCTATATATTGGTGCAAATTACTTCGGCTTCGCCGTCACCAATTATATGCCAGTGAAGGTAATGATCCGCAGCTTGTCTATTACAAATTTGTGAAATGCAGCAACTTTCCCAGATACATCCCAGTTGTTAGGGTGCCTGTAACTCACTTATGAACCGTCGGCAACCATCCACTATGAATCACTAAGCGGGAACTTATATTATAGACATTATTATTCTGGTGATTATTCTACTTACATTCATCAATATGATTATATGAAATAGATAAATAGTGTTTATTCTAATATCCATCATATATCAACTATATTATTTGATATAATATATTCCATAGGATCCATGTATGGTATATATGCTAACATTGGGGGTATATTGATGGTAAATGTTACCATATATACCATACATGGATCCTATGGGTATCTTATTATATCTCCCATGTCTGTTTTTCAAAGCGGCTTCCGTCAGGTGACGCCCCGGACTCCACGGAAACCTCCCAGATCTCGGTGGACAAGCCTGGAATCCCAGGACTTTTGGTGGGATATGAATGAGATATGGATGGCATATACTGTGATAGTTCATGGGATGTATATGTGTATATAATACAATATAATATATATATATATATATATTTATGTATATGTATATTATGTATATTTCCCCACCTGCCAGGTGAGGGTTGCTAGATTTTAACAGAGCTCTTCTCCTCCTCCGCCTCCTCCGCCTCCTCACCCGCCGCCTCCTCCTCGCAGTCCAGATCCCAGTGGGCACAGCCGGACCTCCACCGCGAGCTCCAGATCCCAGTGGGCACTGCCGGACCTCAACCGCGAGTTGCAGATTGCAGTGGCTGCCGGACCTCAACCGCGACTTCCAGGTCGCAGTGGGCACTGCCGGACCTCAACCGCGAGCTCCAGATCCCAGTGGGCACTGCCGGACCTCAACCGCGAGCTCCAGATCCCATGTGGGCACTGCCGGACCTCAACCGCGACTTCCAGATCGCAGTGGGCACTGCCGGACCTCAACCGCGACTTCCAGATCGCAGTGGGACTGCCGGACCTCAACGGGAAGAATGTCAGAAAAGATGTCAGATAGAATGTCAGAAGATATGCCAGATAGAATGCCAGAAAGAATGTCAGAAAGAATGTCAGAAGATATGCCAGACAGAATGTCAGAAGATATGCCAGAAAGAATGTCAGAAGATGTGTCAGAAAGAATGTCAGAAGACATGCCAGATAGAATGCCAGAAAAAATGTCAGAAGATATGCCAGATAGAATGCCAGAAGATATGCTAGATAGAATGCCAGAAGATTTGCCAGAACATATGCCAGAAGATATGCCAGAACATATGCCAGAAGATATGCTAGATAGAATGCCAGAAGATTTGCCAGAACATATGCCAGAAGATATGCCAGAACATATGCCAGAAGATATGCCAGATAGAATGCCAGATAGAATGCCAGAAGATATGTCAGATAGAATGCCAGAAGATTTGCCAGTAAGAAAATGTATAAATGTCATGGTGGGGATCACACGAAGTAAAGTAATTTTATATGTGTATGTATATGTAGATGTATATGTGTATAGATGTATATGTGTATAGACGTATATGTGTATAGATGTATATGTGTACATGTGTATATATATACAGTATATATACCTAACAAGGATGATGGCATGGATGATGGATATAATCATAATCTGGACGAATTATAAAATGACCGAACTTTGCAGCTTGTTTTTAAGGATCAAAGTGGCAGACATCACTGGAAAATGGGCAATCCACACAACTGACGGGGTATGATGAATCAGTAATTTCTTGGGCCGTTTCAGGTTGGGATCGGAAAGGTGCAATTAGAATCAACTACTGTAGATTCTTTGAATGGAAAAAACATATCATTTAGTCATTTGACAGCCCATTGGATGGCCCATTGTTCCATTGTTCTTCCTGTTTTATGTTGGATTTTTGGGGCCAAAAATACCAGACCGGCTTCAACAAAGATGCGAAACTGTAGAGCCAAACGATAGCCTGGACGCTTTTTAAGCCGCCTTTGGCAAACTTTGACCACACTTAGGGCTGGGAGTTGGAGGGTATTCATGGATAGAACTATGGGATATTAACCTCCATAAGTTGGAACACTAGCCCTGCAACTATGGTAGATGGTTATACAAGCCACTTATTCTCGGAACTCCACCCCCAAGCTGTCACTACCATCGCAGAATTGGTTTGAGAATTTGCAGGAAAGCATAGGATAACCATTGATTTGGTGGTCAAAAACATGATTTTGTGCCGGAACAATCCATCCGGGTAAATTATAGTAACCTCACGTCGTGACCGAACCCTGGAATCATGGGTTAGTAAGGGGCATTATCACAATATACTCATACATAAAGTCTTGTTCATGTTCTGACGTGATTTAGGTTAGTGAATTATATTGAATTATTACTATTTGCCCAAATCCATTCCTCGAACGCCGAGGCCAAGTGCAGATGACAGCAGTGCCGGAGTTCTTTTGCCCTCCGCTGTGAGTCGCAAAGGACTTCTTAGGAGCCCATGAACTGTCACTAACTCCTGGGGGGAAACCTTTGTTTGGGAAGATACAAAAAATAGGGGATTACCCTTAGAATCCCTTAGATTCCGACGATGATAGGATGAAAGATAGCAGTGCTGGAGAAATTGCAGAGATTTGGAGATTTCGATGGATTTCTTATGAAAACTCGTGAAAAGTTTTATGGATTTCCCAGCACTCCCGCCCCAGTGGTCATTGCACCAGGGGTTCCTGGGATTCCACCAGGAGACACCAGATATCAGGTTCCGAGGGTCCGAGCCTGATCTATTCGCAACTTTCACTTGCTGGTTATCACCATAGAAATAGTGGATTTACCCATGAAAAATGGTGATGTTCCATTATCTATAACTGGCTGGTGGTTTCAAAGATTTGGATTATTTTCCCATATAGTTGGGATGATCCAATCTGACGAACTCATATTTTTCAGGGGGGTAGCTATACCACCAACCAGCTTGGATGATTCTGGCTGCCATGCCATGCGCTCCGACCAAGGTGTCAGGATCAATGGTAGCGAAGCCGTTGAGACCTTGTGGCTGACAGGCCTGTAGCTACTAGACTTGAGCCTGGTGCGCATAAGCAGCCAGATATAGCCACTGATCAAAGCTCAATGTGACAAGGGGATGTCGCGGAATTAGGATCCTCAATATTCCCGAAAAATCATATGAGTTTGTTTGACAGAAGTTGATTGTTGATTATCACTTTCCCTCCCAAAAAATGTCATTTTGAGGCAGAAACCAATGGCTAAGGTTCCTGGGCTAATGCCTATGCGGACCTGTTTTAGACATCCCAATGCCGTATTTTGATGGAGTTGCTTCCCATTCATCCAAAAAGATTACGTAGTGTGTTGCCTTGCACCTTTGCAAGTAAGTTTTCAATGCTCACAGCTTGTGGCGGGCATGTGGCTGAAACGAATTCCTGAGAAACACCCAAATAGGTATTGGTCAGGTACTCTGTTCACATCAACGTGCTTCAAACCCGGATGAAACTTGCTTAATTATATAATTACTTTGGGGGTACGTTCCCAATTGGTGATGATTTTCTGCGTATTTATGGTATGCTCCAATGATCGCCCAGGGGTTTAACAACATCTCTGCTTGACATGGATGGCGCAGCTCCCGGAGTGGGATCGCTGCCGGTGTGGGCTAAGCTCCACTGGTGTAGCGCGGTCCGCGGAAAAGTTGGAGTGTTTCAAGGAAAAACATGGCTGGGATGCTGTGTGTAGGATGGTCCAACATGTTTCTCACGGCGCTTGAACATTGGGCCTTACTCGTTCTGCATTGAGCAATGGATGAACATTGCATTATAAACATTCAGCAGGGAGAATGACGAAGTAGTAAGTGGTCTATAGGCCAACAATAACATGGCAAGGGTGAAAATTATCACCAGCAATATATGTGTCTGCACTTGGAGTGAGCATCAGATGTCGAGACCCAGTTGCATCGTAACTGGTGAACATGACACATACATTTACTCGGCTATTTCATGATTACCCATCCCCACAAAAACTCTTTTGGATACACCCCAAAGTAGCCAATCCTTGGCGATGACATCACAATGATGATTTCTTACAGGCCCAAGAAAGGGTTATATACAGTAATCCAATGTAATCTATTATCCCCAAAAGAGCAAGTTTAATCCGAACAATGAGGAAAAATGAGCATTGTAATCGGAAAGATATCATCAAAATCCATGAGCATTGGACTTGGGCAATTTTTGTTCCGGTTTTCCCCGTTTTTCAAGACACGGCCACTACAAAGCCACGACAGGTTGCCGCAAACAAACCCCATTTGCCAGGTAAATCGCGAAGCCGTGAGACAGTCTCAGGCGGGAAGTCGCGGCTCGAATGTGTTGTTCACTGGGCATGATATAATAATGGGATGATAATGGGATTATAATCTGGTTGGTGGTTTGGAACATTTTTTCCATATATTGGGAATAAAACACCCAACTGACTAATATTTTTCAGAGGGGTTGAAATCACCAACCAGATTATAATGGGATTATAATGCGATATTAATGGGGTGTAATTTTTCAAAGCTGATAAACCATAGCCACCTACCCAAAATATCTTGGTGGTTATGTTGTTCTAAAAGCCATATACCATTATTAGTCCCCCATAACAAGATGCAACGTACTCCATATAGGAAGAAAGAGATGGCACTGAAAATCATAACATTTCCAGGCACAGCCAAAGATCTCCTTCGATGTTTCTTGGATGCAGTTTTCAGGCCAAAAGGACTGACGTGATTTCTTGACGTTAAAATATACAGTTATATAGATTGACTTATTTTCTAGCTGCAGACATTGTATATACAATTATAATATATACATATAGATAGATATAGATAGACAGATAGATCGATAGATAGAAAGAAATAGAGAGAGAGAGAGATCGAAACAGGGGCTAGTGATCTCACGCGATCCCCAAATGGCGCGTCTGTTTTTCAGGTTTTTCAACATGTAGTTCTACATCCCCAAACCTGAGTCTTAAATCCACCCGTCATGACCAGTCACTGACTTAGTCCACATGAAATTGGTCTGGTGGTTGATGATCATCCAAGATCATCCAAAAACTTGGGATCCTTTCGCCTTTCCGATTCACACTTCTGAAATCGTTGCTGAAATCCCCTCCTGGTTGCCGGGTAAGTCGTCCCACTCAAATGACTCAAGATCCCATTTTGTTGGCATTTCTTTGATGTACTGAATTTTAAAGCACTAATTGTTGGGTTGAGATCGCATTTAAGTTGCTTCAAACCTCAGATCTGTAGGTGGAATCCATATTGCTATTTGTCACATTCGTCGTGTCCATTCGTTTCCCCAAGTCAGATGCCCACCACTTGGCCGTGAAGAAAACAGAGCCATGAGTTGGAATATACTGTAACGTGATATACCATGATATAACCCCTAGAGCCTCTAACAAAACAAAGACCTATCATAGGGGGATGCAACTCCCCAAAGGTGAACAAAGAATAGATGGCGAATGAGCTCTACAAATTGGTTAGTCTTAAAAGGGGGTACCAAACAGGTTTGATGGATTAAAATGCAATTTCTCATATTTTTTCCACTGCTCTTAGTAATCATTGAGTTTATGTTGCTCATCATGAATTCCCATTTGTTTTCAACATTTTCCCATATACAACAGTTGTTCCTGGATGTTGCTAGTTGATTTATGTTGATTTGCCACACAGCATTTTCATCCCAAGGATACGGACACCCGTACCCCTTCACCCTCAGAATGCGGCGACCCGGCGCGTGGGCCCAGCGACTTTCGAAGGGGAATTTCAGGACCCTAAAATGGAGGTACTGAAGCATATAAAGCATTATAAAGCCATAGGTCATAGAGATTGGGGGCCAAATCCCCTTACATAGGCCTTGTATAGTAGATACCCCGATCCAATTTAGGTAATGGCCATTGAGATGATGGTTCTGGAGATGTTTGACCTGTTTCTTGCGCTCAAGCTGCGGTAGTGGGAACACGACCCTGTTACATACATATATATATATATATAATACCTGAGGAACAAAGTTCATTGCACCCTCTTGCACAGAAGTGAAAAGACTGGTCAAAGGCTGCAATTTCTTGTACACAGTACTCGTATGTGTAGGGAGAGCTTTTTCGCTGCAAACATTTTGCAGGAAGCTGTCAGACAGCCAAGCTTGTGTTGAAAGATGACCATGGCATACCATGGCACTTTCTTGCTTGAAAACCAGAGGAGCATATGAAGTACACTCAATGTTAACTGGTTGATGGTTTGGATTTTTTTTTATTTTTCCATATATTGGGAATTTCATCATCCCAACTGACTTTCATATTTTTCAGAGGGGTTGAAACCACCAACCAAGTAAACATGTTAAACCAACCCCTTTTAAAGAGGTTTTATGAAAGCCAGGCTATGCTCCTGTAACTGGAATGGTGATCCTGCGAGATAGTGGTAGCTAAGGATAGTCTAAACTTCGACGCCAAGCCGGAGCACACCTATTTGGGTATCACGAAGGCGTGCAGTTTCTGCTGTTACGTTCTGTGGTGCCCCCAGTGATCATCCACTTATCATCACTCTTATATAAATCGCCAAGTTGCTTGCCATTGGAAGCAAGAAATATGCTAACGATGTAGCTTGGGAGAGCCAAGTCGAGATGAAGAACAGCGATTTTGACCCAAAGGTGACTCTCCAGTCCCAGGAGTTTGGACACATGATTGGAAGCTCCTTACAGTCCAACAAGTGGGACAGACGGTGTCAGGCGGGGAGCGGGTCGCGGGTCATCGCGGGTCGCTGGGTAGCGTGACGCAGTGCGTTGTTCAGTGTTCAGTGTGCCCCTCTTGGTTGATTATAGGGGGTACTACCCTTTTTATATATATATAATTATAATATATATAATATTCATAATATTCATCATATTCATCATAATATTCATAATATTCATATATTGGGGATTATCATAATATTCATAATTATATATATACCCTCTGGCTATTTAACATAGCCATGGAAAATCCCAACCATAAATGGAGGTATCTAGCTGATCTAGCTGGGAAAATCATCTATTTCTATGGGCCATCTATACCATGGCTATGTTAGTCATAACCAGAGGGTGTATATATATATATATATATATTGGCATTGGCGATTATCGCAATATTCATCATCCCTTATGGGAATCTTTATGAACACACATTAACCAACCAGTATCATGCAATGACATTTCAGGTTTTGAAAACTGCACAGATGGTTTGGGGAGGTACAATCCCAATCACAGGATACTATTCACGTTTGGCTAAAAATAGACGCATTTTGTCGTCGCATAGACTCTCCTTCTTGAATGATCGTTAAACTACAGTTTTTGTGGTACTTGCCTGCACGGTTGGAGTGCAACCTGAAGGACTCACTCAGAAGCCATGGGATTTTTGTCGTTGTATTCCCGGTGCTTCTGCTCTTGCCTTGATCATGTGCCTCAAAATGCCAACAATTTTATCGGTAAAAGTACAAAGAGCAAGGTAATGCGTAAATTGAGATGTAGATATACATATGTATAATATATATATATATAATATAATGTGCATGCATATGGGTTTGTCCAGTAATAGGTTAACACATTTTACCCCTAAATCCCTGGTATATACTCATATTTTGTTCAATTAAAATTGCAATTTTATGAATTGTGTGTACCACCATTTTCAGACACAGCCGTATCCATCATTTATTGGTTGAACCCCTTTGTTGGTGGTTAAATCCTCATTTTGCAGCATGTTTGATGGTTAAATCCGCCATTTTGGATGGTTGCGGTTGCCTTTCTTTAATTAAGCACACAGTATATACATACATATTCCATTATATACCTATAAGACCTATTGTGTATATAGATATATATAGATATATATATATATTCTAGCTAGCTATAATAGGGATTGGATTCTTATAGGTATCAGATGATCGTCCCAATTTTTGGAAAACTTCCATATAGGATCATATAGGTATCCTCTTATATCCCAGACATATTCCCTGATATTTCTCAACCTATCCCATTAAAAAAACTATTGCACACATATCAGGTTCCTATTTCCCCGGTGAATTGCTGATACCAAGCCACATCCCAGGCGTTGAAGTCCATGCTGCAGGTCCTGAAAGGGTCCCTTGGCGA